GCCAGGCCAGGACCAGTTCAGCCTGGGCTCTGAGGGCTGCCCTTACGGACTGGTCGGTGGTCAGGGGGGTGTAGCCGGTCATGAGGAAGTGCAGCCTCGGTGTGGGGATGAGCGAGGCGATGAGGCCGATGAGGTCGTTGTTCATGTAGCCGGGATAGCGCAGGGTGGTGGTGCTGGCCGACATGATGGTGGACACCTGGGGGCGGGAGTGTCACGTCTGTCATCCCAGGTGGCCTCCCAGCCCTGAGGGTCCCAGCTCTGAGCCAGAGGGGGTGGGGGTGGGGGGGCTCACCAGCTGGTTGATCTGGGAGAAGGATGGGTTCTGAATGTGCAGGCGGTCGGTGGCGATGCGGTTCAGGGCCGTGTTGTCCAGCACCACCTGGGGGACAGGGCAGGGTGTCAAACGTCTGGGGACAGGAGGAAAAAGAGCTGTGCCCGAGCATTTCCTTCGAGCTTGCTGGTGGGAAAGACCCATCAAGAAATAGCTTGCACAGGCCGGCTCAAAATACCACGCAGTCGGCGTTCTGGGTCAGCCTCTTGAGCGTGAGCAGTGAGTTATAGGGCTGCACCACCACATCGCTCATCTCGTCCTGGTTGGGGAACACCGAGTATGTCTGCACCAGCTTCTTGGGGTACCTGGTGGGGGGTTGAAAGAGACGTCAAGGCAACAGGCTGGAAGCTGGCAACCCTGAGGCACTTCCAACAACTTCCCAGGAGCAGCCTGGGAATGCGCCCTGGGCCTCATCTAGGACGGTGATTCCTGAAGTGGGTAATACTGCCCCCAGGGCACGGAGGGAGAGCCGGAAAGACCCAGACAGGGCTGCACAACCAGATACAGGCACTCCACCCTGGATGGTGGGCTATAGCACAAGAGTTTTCAGTTGCAGGGGGACACTGGGTCTTTTTTTCCCCCTAAAAGGAGGGCAGCAAACCAACTATTATTTGGGAACCGAGATCTAGGACCTAGATGCTAGGCTCTGTGTCACTGCTGAATTGTGACCACGTTCTTGGCCTTGTGGCTTCCCTTCCTCCCGACATGAAGGGGAAGTGCCCGGGAAGGAAAGCTGTCTGGGGGGCTGCAGGCCTCTCTCCCCCCAGCCCACCCCCGCAGACTCACCTGTCATTGAGTCGTTCCAAGAGGTAGGAGCCCAGGCCGGAGCCTGTCCCCCCAGCGATGGAGTGACACAGTACAAAGCCCTGCATGGGGAAAGGGCAGTCAGTGTCTGGGGGTCAAATTGGTGGCAACTTACAGCTGCTGGGCTTCTTTCTTCCACCCATCCTGCTGCTCCATCTAGCCTAGGAAACTGCCCTGTCTCAGCAAGGCTTGGTAGGGAGTGTGCCCTTAACAGGTGGCCTCTACAATGTCTAGTGAAGAAAACAAAAATCCTCACAACTGGGCCGAGAAGCACCATCATGATAAAGGGAGGAAACAATGACACGGCTGAAGAGTTTTCTCTCGTTTGGATCCGACAATCGATGCTCATGGAAGCCACAGTCGAGACCCAAAAGAACTCTGCATTTGGGTAAAGCCCAAGGGTCACTTTGAGGACCATGGTGTGGCTGACCTGAGCCGTGGCATTTCCCACCACCTCAGGGGCATGTGAATGTTGGGCTCTGAGTAAAAAAGACCAAAGAGAATCGAAGCCTCTGGACTGTGGTGCAAGTGACGAGCACGGAAGACACAGAGACTGCGGAGAACAGACGGACCTGTCTCGGAAGAACAGCCAGCGTGCTCCTTAGACGCAAGGAGGATGAGACTCTGTCTCAGGCTTTGGACAGGTTGTCCGGAGAGACCAGTCCCTGGAGAAGGACATCCTGCTTGGTTAGTCAAGAGGAAGGCCCCGATGAGACGGCTGGACACAGGTGCTGTGAGGATGGACTGGAACACAACGCTGGCGGGGCTGGCCCCGCACAGGGCAGCGATTCGCTTCGCGCTGTTGCACGCAGGACTGCGGGGTCCAACCAACACCACAGCACCTAACCACCAGGGTTGCCAGCCTGGCCTGTGTCGGCTCCCACCAGCACTCGTGGGACACTCACCTCCAGACTGTCACTGCCGTCCGCCTCCCGGTCTATGATGTCAAAGATGTCCTCGTGGATCTTCTCCCCCTGCAGACACGGGGACAGTCAGAGTGGGATGTGACCCAGGGATCCCGAGGCTGATTTCAGAACAGCCGCCCTGCGCTCCCCAAATAGCACCCCAAGAAAGGCCTTTTCTGGAACACTGGGGCCCTGCTTTTTAATTTGGATCGAGGCAGGATGGTACGGTGGTTAAGGGCAGGCCTTCTACCTCCAGACTGCCCGGGCTGGTATATTAGCTGTATGTTGTAAAATAATTTTTGTTGTCAAGAATATATACAGAACGTGCGTGAGTTAACTGTTTCAGCATGTGTAGCTCAGTACACGCACACTCTGCCTGCTGATCAACCATTCCCATCCTGCTCTTCAGAGTGCTGCCTCCCCCGCTAACATCAGCTCACTGGCCCCTCAGTTTCCTAGCTAACTCTTCGAGTTGCTGGGGTTAGCTTCATCCCATCCAGATAGATTTCAAAACAGCACAAGGGTCGAGGCAGTCTTCACTAGCTGTGCTAAACTGCTGTTTGGTTTTAAGAAGCATTCAGAGGCTATGTGTATATACAGATAAAGCTCATTTGATTGGGGGCTCTCACAGCTCTTAAAACAATCCATACAGCAATTGTATCAAGCAAATTGGTACATATGTTGCCCTCATTATTTTCTAAACATTTACATTCTATTTGAGCCCTTGGTATCAGCTCCTCTTTTTACCCTCCCTCTGCTCCTTCCACCCTCTTGACCTCCTAATAAATTATTATTATTTTCTTATCTTACACTGACCGCTGCCTCCCTTCCCCCCTTTTCTCCCCCCCTTCCCCCTACCCTCAGGGGCTATTTTTGACTTAAGGCTTGAAGACTACCTTCAGGGAGGATCTATTCTATTGAATGAGTTTCTGGATGGCTCAATGCCTCAGTTTCCTCATCTGTGAACTAAAGCTATGGATACAGACCCACAGTCCCTTACCTAAGATCCACCGGGACAGTTTTGTAATTCAGAATATTTCCAATTGTAGAAAGGTTATACAGGGCACATGTGTGAGTGATAGTCCCAGCCAAAGGGCAGGAGGGTCTGAGACACATTAATCAAATCTATTAGCATTTCTGCAGAGGAAGCTGAAGAGAACCGACCAACAGCCTCTCCCCACTAAGATTTGGGTTTGCTGCTAAGTGAAGTATGGAACCACCTTTTGGTTTCAAAGCTTTTTGGATTCCGGAAAGGCAGAGAAGAGAGACTGTGGACCTGCAGTCCCCAACTTGCAGGGTTGAGGGAAGGTTTCAATGACAGAGGGGAAACTCTTGGGTCCGTGGTCACCACACCGGACAGGGCACTAGGCAGCTGAGCCGCTTGCCTCTGCTGCATCCATCATTTCCTACCTCTCCCTCCAGCCCTCAGGATCTGTTTCATCTCTCTGGGGAGTCTAGCCGTCCTCAAGCAGGGAGGGAGCTATGGGCCCTTCTACACTCCGGTGCGGGAAGAGAATTCTCCCCAAGGATTTCCAAGGCTGTAATCCTCATGGAACCAGAAGGCGGAGCGGCTGATGCTTTTCAATCTCCAGTCTTTACAGTTAGCAGCCCTGCAGGCGCTTAACCACTGCTCCCCATAAACCCTAGGGAACAATAAATGACCTGGGAGAATCCGCTGGCCCAGTTGTTGCCCGCGCCGCCGCCATGCTCCGACAGGTAGATGTTCTCCGGGTTGTAGAGCTTGGCATAGGGGGAGTTGAGGATGGAGTGGATCACCCGGGGCTCCAGGTCCAGCAGCACCGCCCTGGGGATGTAGTGCTCATCGTCTGCCTGGCAAAGTGGTGCGGGGGTGAAGGGGCAGTCAGCGGGGGCTGCCTAGTTCTGCACCCCCCAACCAACTGAGGCCTTAGCCCGCCCTCCCTGCGCCAGCCAGTGGCCCTGGCCCCTCTGCCCCGCAGGCGGCCCAGGCCCAGGCTCTTCCCCTCGGAGTCCCGGCATCCTGTGGACCCTGGCCAAGCCGCTGGGGGCACCTGGTAGAAAAAGACGTCTTTTCGGTCTGTGCCTTCAGTGGCGAACTCCTCCACGATGCCCTCGGGGCTGATGCCATGCTCGGCGCAGAGCTGTTTCCAGAACTCGAACCCAACTAGGAGAGGGGGGAGGGGAAGTGGGGCGGGGAAGAAAGCAGACACTTGGGTCTGGGCAAGTCCCAGGTAGGCGCTGGGGACAGCAGCTCGGGGCTCAAAACCCCCCTACGTCCGGCCCGGGGCCCGCCCCGCCGCCCCGGGGATAGAGAGAGGCCGCGGGGGCTGGGCAGCTGGCTGCAGAGTCAGGGAGGTCCCGCCCGTCCGGGAGCGAGGGGCTGGGCAGGGAAGGGGCTCCAGGAGCCCACGCGAGCCCGCGACTCGAAGGCCGGGCGCGCTCCGGGCCCGAGGCTCGCTCACTCTGATTGCCACACTGGCCCAACTGCAGGGTGATGATTTCCCGCGGCATAGTCCTCCGAGTCCCGCCCCGCCGCCGCCGTCCCCAAACCAGCCGCGCGCGACGCCGTACGCCGAGCCGAGCAGGCGGCGCGCGACGCCGTAAGTGACGCCGCCGTCGGCCAATGAGCGGCGCGGGGCCCGCTCGCCGCAGCACGCATGCGCCAAGCTTGCCCCGCCCCCTGGGCGGGCCGTTCCCAGTGCGAGCTGAGCTCGGCCGCGGGTCGTTCGTTATTCGTTGGCGCTCGGTCACGCAGGTGCCTTCGGGCCCTGGTGGCGCAGCGGTTCAACAGTGAGGCTGCCGAAACAACAAGCTCCCTGCTGCTGAGCCAATTCTGACTCCTTCAGGTCGGAGTAGGAGTGTCCTTGGGGGTTTCAGAGGCTGTACAGCTTTATGGGAGTGGAAAGCGTCCTAACAGGGCAGTTCTACCCTGAGCGGACTGACCAGGCCGATGGAGACGTGATTCTCAACAGTAGGCTCTATGACTGATTGAAAATGACCAGCAGACCATTTCCGTTTTCGAATGGTTAGGCTAGCCATGTTACGCGTTCCTTTTTATGTTTAATGACTTCCAACGGTCCTAGGTTGACACTTCATACAGTCTACGTTTCAAATTGTTAATGACCATTCGCAGCTGTTTCTTCTCATGTTGAGTTGGGTTACCTCAACAAATGGAGGTCTTGAAAGGGTTGCTTCCAACCATGTCGTTAAGGTCTAGCTACGTTACTAAGGCTGCTTTTCCCGCTCTCATTTGGAGCCCCAGCCAGCCAGAGGGCTCATTTTCCAGCATTATATCAGACAAGGCTTTGCTACCATTCATAAGATTGCACTCTATTGAACCAAATGATCTGTGGATTAGGTACCAATTAAAAAATGACACACAAAAAAAGATTTCACTGGCCAATTTTGTAATGTCCTGCTACCAAGTCTTTGTCTGAAAA